TATTAGGGTCCTCTTATATTCTAATTATACCACCATTACAGGGTGGGGGGTCTAACGCAGACTTTATGATAGGTCTAGACTTTAGGATTTAGGGGGTTGAGGAGTTTTAGGAGGGATAGGGCTTTGGGAGGATTCAAGCTTTAAATTTGTTTGAAGGTTTTCAGGCTTTGGATTTAGAATCAGAGGTAGGGTGCGAATATTGCATCGCAATAGTAGAATACCGTTTAGTACTGCTTAAGTACGGTATAGCATGCAAGCATCTAAACCCTAAACCCCTAAACCCCTAAACCCCTAAACCCCTAAACCCCTAAACCCTAAACCCTCTAAAGAATAATATGCTTCTGTCGGACAGCCGCCACGGCCGCAACCACGGCCACTACAGGACTAAGGACAACGACTAGGGGTTGGGGGCTTTAGGGTTTAGGGTTTAGGGTTTAGAATCACCACTGCTGCCTTTGCAGCGGTACGAATAGCAGTAATGTAGGCCCATGATTAATCAACCCCCTCCCTTTAAGGGCCTTGATATTAGCATCCACATTCTAATCCCTATTTAGGGGAGGGGGTTTATTGATCAGGGGTTTGGCGTAGCATCAGCAGGCTTAGCAGAAGCAGCAGTAGTGCCAACGGTGAAATTCTAATGATGGTCAGAATACTCATAGTCAGAATACTAGTAGCAATAACAATAATACCTGTCGTAGAAGAAATAATACTAGCTCCGTTAATCACTTGTAACTTGTGGTAGTAGTAGTGGTAATAGGAGGAGGACTAGGAAGATTAAAACTTGTACCAGAACTCCAACTGCAGCAGCCCCATCGACAACTTCTGCCCCCAATCTCATCGGACTTTCTCTCAACACAGTGCCACCCCCCAACCGCAAGAGCCTTCAACTTGCACAGAGAGCCCCCATAGGTGTCCCAGACATGTTGGCATTGGCTCAGAACTAAGGAGATGACGCCGGCTGAGGATACCCACCTGAGCTGCAAAGCGATGCTGTGCTGCGAGGGAGGGTTTAGCGTTTAGTCGGAACTGAGGCGGTGGTAAAAAGCCTGTGTCTCAAAATGTCAGACTTGATTCCTTAACTGATAATGCCTCTATAAGCGGAGCGCAACATTCCACAACACTTCCTGTAAACTGTGTATTCAATATGCCAGGACCCTGCTTGCAAATTTGTTCACATGCCCATCCACACAATTACCCCAAAATAGCTTCCTTTTTTGTCTAGACACTCTGTCTCACGAAGCAGCGTTGCAGCTGTCTACTTTCGAATAAACCCTGAGGGCAGCTTCAAATCCCAACAAACAAAAACTCCGTTCGCAAGCCTTACGTAATCCAAAGCCCAAACAACAGGCCCAAAACCCCGCAGCCTAACCCCCAAACCTCAAACCTAAAGCCCAACACCGTTAAATCAAAAGTCTAAGTCAAATACGGGTACCCACGGTCTTGTCTAATCCGCCCTGGGCTGATACCACACACGACCCCAATAACGTACAAGGCTCTGGCCATGTACCGGCCGGCACTGCGAAGTCCTGGACATGCCTGGCGTGCCAAGGCAGAGGATTTAGAAGGGTGTAGGGTTTAGGGTTTAGGATTTAGGGTTTAGGGTTGGGGTTTAGGGATTCAGTGGTTTGGACGTTTAGGGGCTTAGGGGTTTAGGGTTTACGGGCTTAAAGTTTATGCAAGATTTAACATTTAGGGGTTTCGGGGCGTTGGGGTTGTCTCAGTTTGGAATTGACATACCGTTTCGGGCTTTAGGTCTATAATATATTTAATATACTATATAAGCCTCTATAATATAGTAGCTTCCATTTTCCTTTCCATTATACCAAGATAACCCTAATGGTCACATGAAATGTTACAGAACATCTAAGGTATCTCAACATATTGCAAGGCTGTAAGCGCAGTTCTAAATACAGGGGATGATGGAAAAGAAAATGGAAACGCTAGGTCCCGCTGAAGGAATATGTACGTGGGGTTATAGAGGTAATATAGAAGATAATGGGAAAATGGAAGCAAAATACATGCAACTACCTCAGCTGAAGTTCAAATTGTAATGAACCTACGCGCAAGTCGCACTTGTAATCACTTACGAACCCTCACTTCCCTAAACCCTAAACCCGAAACCCTAAACTGGTTCAGAGTTCAACTTTAAGGATCCACTTTCGCGGCCTAGGGCTCGAGGGTTTTTGGGTGTGCGGATTTGTGGTATCAGGTCCCCCCGTAAACGCTTAGGACTTGGGGGAACCACCGGAAGCAAACATGAGTTTGAATTTTGGTATCTACGCTGCGGCTCCGTCAATACTTTCAGAAATGGCCGGTGGTATTAAATTGACGCCCGAAAGTTTTTCCCGCATTGCCTGTCCACAGAAGCATGGGGAGGAGGGCATTTGGAACAATCAAGAGGCAGTGCGGCGATATGCAAAGCCTTAAAATAAGCTAGCCTTTAGGATCTCAGTTGCAATGCAACTTCTCAACGCTCAGAATTTGCCTGGTACATCGGATGGTTTTATCCTCCGCCGAGAACCACTGCTCAATTCCGTGTTTATAAAACGGGGCTTTAATTAACCCAACCCCTACAATAAGGGCCCTGCAACTATCATATGACAATAATGCGGTCCTCGTCTTGGGGGGTAGGGCAACTAAAGCCCCATTTAGCTCCCCCACGCCTAAATTGTTTCTTGGGCCGGCCCGCGAGCCGAAACCCTTCTTTTCAGCATTGGGCCCCGTGAATTTGGAGAGTACATTGTCAAGCAGTGTAAGATGATTCCTGGAAAATTCGCAGGCGCTTACTACTGGAAGGGGAAGGCACCTTCCACGTGAAGAGGCACACTACCCGGCCACCACGCCATCATCATCAAACAAGGATTTCGCTGCCAAGAGTGATTTATTGTGCCTGATTCATGCTCCTTTGGCAAAAGGACATTGGACACGGTATGCAGGATCAGTTGGTCTGCCCTGCGATTTCAGGATGAGTTGGCAATGACTTGGTTAACTTCTGAAATTGGTTCTCATGACTCATGACCATATCTGGAGCCTCCATGACCAAGCCATGTCTTCAAATCTGCTGCAAGCTAACACACAAGCAGTGCGTGTTCTGACAATGTCACCATAAAAATACACTGCCAAAATCCAACCTGTGTAAGCCAGCACTATCTTGGACGTGCATCATTTTGTAGAACATCAACGGTAACTTTGCTGTGACTTGTTGCTCTGATGTCTTAGATGCAAAGACAAATCCTGTAGTATAGCCTGGACTTATGAGGCTAATGCTCCGTAAGAAATGTCTAGGATTCCCGAACAACGCTGCCCAGAGGATTCCAATTTCCATGTGGTCAAACTGACGGACCATACTCGCGGCCATGCGTGTCTGCAGCGGAACGAGAGTGCGCAAATGGCAGCACTGTAGATCATTCTATGAGAAAATTAACAAATGTTTCATTCAGCTGTCGGTTCCAAACTTGTGTTTTTCGGCTTGGCATAGCAACTGGAAACTGACCCATACATGAACAATTATCGGCATCAAGGACGGGACACCGAGACACAACATCACGCCCGATTGCAAACATCACCAGGGCATGCCGCGTCGAGGCAAATATGAAATCCTGACCATCCCACACACCAAAAAAAATGAGCCAAGTTTACCCAATTTGTCCGTTGGATCGTGTCAAGCAACTCTGTGGAAAAACATCCAAAACTGTCATGAACTGAAATTGCACCCCCTCATCTCCCGCGAATACAGCATGAAAGCCTGGACACTCGTGGAAAGTACTGGTTGCATTGCCTTGCGTTTGAATATCGTTGAAGTCCCCACCTGATGCCCAGGTCGCCGCGCAAATCGTGCATTCAACCTGACATTATCTGTTTGTCCATCTGTATAGTGTCTGAACGCATGTCACATTGTGACCAAGTCCGCACAGGCTGCCACCAAACATGACCTGGGACCTGTGGTCGCGGCTGGTCATTCGAAAGTCCACTCACTGTTTTTATGCAAGCAACGAGCAAGCTATAACCTGAACGGAATCAAAGCAAGTCCCGGCCAGGACAATGTCGTGTATGTGCAACTTGTCGGTGTGAGCAAGTAAACGTCCGAAGCGTAAGCACCACAGCTCCACGGCGACAATGAAACAAGCACTACAAACCAAGTACGAAGCATCAAACACATGATCACGAAACCCGGAGGTCGTGTGCCAAACACTGTCAGGCCCGGAGTAAGGGCAAGAAAATCCTTGAGAAGCGACGCTGCGGCCAGCGCCAGCGCGAGTCACTGCATCTCCTTTAAACACGAAAAGGCCCTTCAACAAACCCAGCTTAATCCTTAGGCAAACCCATGAAGGGGCCATAATGGAAGTACCACATGAGATACACAGACAGATGCACTGAATGCGTGCGGCTCAAGCTACTCAAGTTGAGCGGCTGTTTTGGGCATCGGCTGCACCGCAGGTAATGGGGCAAGTCTCCAATTTGGCAACCATAAGTGGGGGCCAATCCTTGTAGCCGTTGTGGCTAGCATTGCATGTAAGCTATGACATTTTGAGACAGAAAAAAAAAACTGGACGTCTGAGTGAGAGCCGATACCCGAATGCAATACCCAGTTTTTCGTAGAGTCTTTGACAAAAGATGATGAGGGCGCGATCCCCAAAAACCAGAGACGTGCCAATAAGCTTGCTTGTTTCGCCACCTGCGGGGCGAGAGTCAACAGCCTTTCTCAGCTCCCGGAACGTCGACACCAAAATTGGTATCAAGGCGAGCCCACTGCAGCTTACATGACACTTGCAGGGACTACTTCCCGCCGGAATCTGGATGCCCATGAAATCTTGAAGCTGGCAGCAAGCTCGACCCAGGAGATAACCTGTCCCATCATAATCAGAGCTCCACCTCAAGAGGGCAACCCAAAGCGGGACAAAGCGAGCAGAGAAACCTTTGCCCAACGCAGCATCGCGACACCACTTCGGAACATCATCCGGCAAGTTCGGGAAAGAGTAGGGCGCTGCCCAAAACTCATCATCACCCCATGAGGACCAGCAACACTCCTGCAGCGCCGGAGCAAGCACACCCATGCTTTTGCAAGGGGCAGCCTCTTGCAACTTCTCAATGGCTAAGCACTGCCTGGCAACGATGAAATTGTGAAGGCTGTGGACTAATTAACTGACCTAGGGATTACATTGAAGACTTGCCAACTGATTTACATCTGACCTATAACCTTGAAACATTGAAAAAACAACATAAAATGGTTAACTTCCGAAGGCTTGATAACTGCTTATGATTGGTTGGTAGTTGGGCAAACCTATTATCCATCCAGGCTCCGGCCCGTGGAGGTCAATTGAGAGATCACTCTCCAAGCCTTTTGCATTTGCCTAACTGAAGGGCCCCGCAATCCTGAGTCAGCGGGGTTTTTACGGAAAGCCAGCTTCAGAAAAAGACGATCGTATTCGCGGAATGAACCAAGATGCGCAGCCTCTAGCATGGTGTATAGGTAACGCAAAGCAACTCCAAGAGGCTGTATAAGGGCATTTGCCAAAATGCCACCCTCAGGAATCTCACGCGATGGAACATCATCGTGAACCATCTCTTCAAGCATGGGGACCTTCCGTGGCCCCAGCAATGTAATTTTCATCTTGAGCTTTCTCTGAAAGCCTTCGACTCGATAGAATGAACTCGGAACGAGGAATCTGAGGTATTATTGCGCGCAGGAGCTAGCCGGCGGCTGGACTCTTTGGTGAAGGTTGCATTGACCATGATGGGAATGCCTCCGAACTGCGCCCACATCCGTTGAATTGGACACATTACCTGACTGAGGGGAAGGCACCTGTGAAGCGCGCAATCTCAATGCATTGGCCCGCGCAGCTTTATGACCAGCCATGACAAATGGAGTGATCAATGAAAATGCGTCAGCAAAAAGGCCTGAAGACAGCGCTGCCTTTAGCGCCCCAAGCGCCACCACAAGCATAGCAAAAACTGCGTACCGTCGAAGCTTTTGCAATCTCACCGGCCAAGACGTATGGTACATTTTCAGCAAGCAAAATTTCCAGCAGATCACGCTGGTCGAAAGGCTTCCACTTGTACCCAAAACGAACCATCGCGTCAGATCCGGAGGATCATAAACCAAACTATGCAAACGATGGGGAGGAAGGGAACATGTGTGTAGCAATTGCCGATTGTTTTGGATTGCACGGGCCGTGACACAAAGTGCATCTGAACAATGGCAGGTTGGACGAGTGATCATATTGATCAGCCCCCGCCGCCCGCGAAACACAATGGCCGTGAGAAAACATGGAAAACAACATCAAAGAGTGCTTTGCTTTGCTGCACGTCGAGGTCGGCGTGAGAGAAGGACTTCATTCACCGCTTGGTGAACGGCCAATCAAGATGGCACCTAGCTATGCACTTTGTATTGGAGTGCAATCTAGCCCACAGGCATTGCACACTGCATGATGTCACGCCGAATCAAAAACACAACATAAACATCAGGAGCAACACGTTCAAAACTACACTTTGGAGCGCTTGTTATCATCGCAATAATGGAATTTCCCACTAGCATGGTCTACGAGGAGAGTTCTGTAATGACCCTGCCGAATGCTGTTCCCCAAGTGAACGGCTAAAGCACAAAGCATGTACGACTCCATGTGGCATTGCAACTGTTCACCAAAGATTGGAATTGGAAATCGTGACTCATCTCAGAGCGAACTTTCTGCAACGTGCCATCATTGTAGTGGAAACGATTCAGACGCACAGCCAGCCGACGAGGTGCCGACAGGAGGCCATCTGGGAAAGCATGTCCCCGCCATTCATTCACCACATCCTGAAGACACCAATTTCCAGCTAAGGGAACATCCAGAGTAATCAACTGATCACAGAGGCCATGATCTTGAACACGGCGTATTTCATGGTCTTGGAAGCGCGCCTCCCAAGCCCCATGAAAAGGTGATACCTGGCAGCGTTGCACAACATGTTCAAAGAAATCACGAATATCGTGTTGTGCCCTTCCATGTCTCCACCCTTGCACAATGTGATTCCAAGGTAACATGTGCATGAGGTTGCAAGCCTTGCGCTGCGCTCCAATGGCACGCCAAATGTTGTACCCATAGCCCATGCCCCGCGCCTGAAGTTTGGAATTTGCCATTAGCCACAGAATTGCATGTACCAGCGCATTCATATAGCACAGGTTTCCACTGTTGCGCAAGACAAGGTGCATTACAGCTGCCGCAGGAGGTCGGACACATGCTACGCTAGTCCATGACGCTGGGTTCGTTCCGGCCGCAGACGACTGCGCAGCAACTTCAAGACCATGTTGTCGCCAAGTTTGGTCAAACCTTGATGTAGCAGGCCTGCTTTGTCCCCCCTCAGGGCAACCTGGATGGTGAAGCAAACCTCCTTGTGGTCCGTGGTCGTTTCGTTTCCATGTCCGCACGCATCGGTTGTGACGCTTGGAACTTGCGCAACACTCCTGGCTCCTGAAGCAATGTCTGCATGTCTGTCAGAGTGGCCTCCAGGTGCGCGGTGCTCAGCGGTGTCGCCCCTGTCTCCGCCAGGGCCTTGTGCGCTGGATCCCAGGTTTTGTACTTCCATGCGCCCGCTTCGGTCAACCAATCTGCCTTGATTGCCATTGACCTGGCTGTCTCGTCCTGTATGGTCCGCTTGACCCTGGCCGCCAGTCCTGCAGAATGCACTCCATCATCAACACGTGAAGTGGTTTCTTCAGCAGATGTGGCGTTTGCTCCTTGATGCGCTTCCATTCCGCACTCACTCCAAACATGACCGGCAGTATGCCCCCTTGTTCCGCCCCCACAAACCAAGTGAAGCCGCAATCCTGAAGGGTGACTTGGCACGCATCTGCCAGCCGCAGCGTCAG